AGCATTGTTGACGTTAATTTTATAGTAAAACGTAAGCTTTCTATTGTGTTGTTTAATTTACTAAATTTGACATACATAATGAAGTATGAGTTGTACGTCACAGTACAAATATGTAACATACATCATTATGTTATAAGTAGTACATATATATAACATATGGAAAGTTATCGTTGGATCTGTAAATTGTCGGATTACCAGGTACTCTTTTGAAAAAAAATCGGACTATACCTAGGTGGTCTTACTACTACTCTATAATCCGACAAATTCGATATTCCAACACTGCCCTGCAAAATGTTTGTCGAATTACCGGAGATCCACTGTATATAGTGTTGCATGATTTTCTTACACCACCCCACGCCACCGCCACATGATATTGCTTACTCAGATGACATAAACTACAGATTATAGTAAAAGAAATTAACTTCCTATAACAAAAAAAATATCACGCAAGATCACGCATTAAATAAAAACGTGTTGTGAAATGCAAGTACTTTCAAATCGCATCAATAGATAGATAGATAGATAGATAGAAAATTCTTTATTGCACTCAAAAAAAAACAATTTGGTACAAAGGCGAACTTAATGCCGAAAAGGCATTCTCTGCCAGCTAACCTTTTGTAGTGTGGTGAGAGCTATGGGTAGAGCCGCAAGAGAAAGAAAAACTAACTTATTTTTTTATACTATTCAAAACGCATTATATAATATTATGTATATGTTAGTTTATACATATATACACTTTTACACATACATACATATATATACATATATACATGCATACATATATATTTAAATAAAATATATACTAAACCAATAAAGCATACAATATAGTATACGAAATTATAATAAACATAATCAATAAAATTAATCAAGTAATTTTAAATAATATGCCTCAAGCTTACGTTTAAATGTATTTATTGAAGGAGCACCTAATCTCGTGGAAGGTTATTCCAAAGTGTAATTGATGATACCGTGAAGGAATCCGAGTAGTACGCAGATTTATGCATCGGAAAGAGGGCATCGAACGGGATAAGCTTAAATATGAAAAACGCTCTTTTAGATAAACTGGGGAACAAGGATTGTGAAGAACACCATACAAAGCGCTTAGAAGGTGTGTATTCCGGCGAAAACGGATGTTAAGCCACTTAAGTCTTGAGCGAAATTGTGATATATGATCAAACTTGCGCAGGCCATAAATATAGCGTATGCACAGATTGAGCAGACGGTCGAGTTTGCTAAGCAGCTCCTCAGTTATATCTGGATAGGCAATATCGGCATAATCAAAGATAGGAAGCAACAGAGAGTTGACTAGCGTAACCTTGGCCGTCTGAGGAATAAATTTTTGCCAGAGCTTTAATGAATGCATAGTTCCAAAAATACGTCTTCTGACCTCATTAACCTGTAGCACCCAACTTAGATCGTCAGCCAAAATTAAGCCAAAGTTCTTAACCTGCCTAACATATTCTAAATCTACACCGTTTAGAGTGACCTTAGGTAGGTATTGATAGTCAAGTCTACATGTAATTTTTCTACTCCCTATGATTATAACCTGAGTTTTGGCAGGATTTAATATTAGCCCATGATTCTGATCTGATTCTGATCTTGCTGCAGTTCATGCCCACTGATGAACTGCAGCAAGATCAGAATTCATTCTGTCAACAGATGAATTTAGGTCATTTAAACTAAAATGCTGATACAGCTGGACATCAACTGCGTACAGGTGATATTTGCTGAAATTTATTACGGAAACAAGTGCATTGATAAACACAGAAAAAAGCAACGGAGATAAAACACCGCCTTGAGGAACACCAGCAACAACGTTACACCAATCGGAGAACTTATCATCAACACGTATGCGTTGCCGGCGTCCCCCAAGATAGGAACTGAACCATTGTAGAACTGACGATGTTAAATTCAGGGATTTCAAAATCGCTAACAGGATGTCATAGTCAACACAGTTAAAGGCGTTACTGAAGTCCAGAAGGACAAGAAGAGTGAGTTGACGATTATCCATCGCGAAGCGGATATCATCAGTTATTTTAATTAAGGCCGTGGAAGTACTGTGCAGAGATCGGAAACCAGGCTGATAAGGATTAAAGAGGTTATGTTTGTTTAGAAATTTTGAGAGTTGGCCATGAACAAACTTTTCAAGAATTTTGGAGAAGAAGGAGAGGATAGATATTGGCCTATAGTGGCTGAAATTAGTAGGAGAACTATTTGGGGACAGGAATCAGGAACGCTTCTTTCCACTTAGCAGGGAAGGTACTGGAGGCAAAGGAGAAATTTATTATGTGAGTGATATGGGAAACTATTTGGTCCAAAATCGGCAAAACCATGTCACGTCCAGTATTATCTGGGCCGACAGCTTTGCTGGATATGACGGATGCAATTCTTTTTACTTCATTATCTGTCACTGGTTCAAAACAGAAAGGTGTACAACACGGTGAAGGGAAAGAAGTGATATTTTTAATAGTATCGCTTTTGACTGATGAGTCCAACGAAACTGGCAAAGAGCAAAAGTGTTTGTTGAGCGCTGTTAAATCAAGGGACTGACTAACATTCTGTTTGATTTTACCAAAGCCTAGGCTGCGCAAAACCTTCCATAAATTCTGGGTTGTGCAAGTCTCAATAGTATTGTGAATATGTCGGCGTTTGGCATTTCGTATCACCTGGTTGCAGCGATTTCGTGCTTTTTTAAATCTTTCCCAGTTCTCATCACTGGGCGAACGTTTATGTTTTCTTTTAAGGCGGTCCCTACGTGCCATAAGAGATCGAATATATGGCGTTAACCAAGGTGCTGGTGCCCGTTTCATTTTTACTGGTCTTAAAGGCGCTACTTTGTCATAAGCTTTTGTTATAATGTTATTGAGTAACTGCAGTTTATTGTCAATATTATTAGTGTTATAAAAGTCTGCCCAATTAGCATTGCGTATCTCATAACTTAATAGCTGGCGATTCATACGGACAAGGTTACGCTGAAACATAATTTTGGGAGATGATTTAGTGGATTTAAGAGCATATGATGCGAAAATTAGATCATGATGGGAAAATCCAGGAGCCACGAATTGACCATATAGATATATATACGATCAGGATCAGATGTAAGGATTAAATCCAGTAAAGAGTTAGTATTATTGACGTGATAGGTAGATTCGAGGTCAAGAATTTTAATATTGCTTGATGCACTTAAGCGTTTAAGCTTATTTGATCTAGCATCATTTCGAATAAGGCAGTTGTTAAAGTCACCCATGAAAATGGAGTGGGAGTAGTTTGGGAGATGCATCTCAATCAGCTGTTCCAATTCATTGATATAATTTACAGAAAGAGGTGCATAAAATGTTCCTAGTAAGAAAGGTGTGTTGCAAACCATTATTTCAATAAGAATGTATTCCAATGATTTAGAATAAACCTCGGGCGATCTGGAAACGATCGTGTATGGTATGTCTGACCGCAGGTATATGGCAACGCCTCCGCCACCCTTGTTTAATCTGTCATTCCTGATGAGATGATAGCCCGGAAGACTAAACAAAGTGGATGGTAAGCTAGGTTTCAGAAATGATTCTGATATGAGACAGGCATGAATAAGACTGTTTTCGAAAGTTGCAAGAAGATCTGAAAAGTGAGCTGGAACACTTTGTGCATTAATATGACATATATTCAAATTCCTTCGGTAAGGCTCAAGGGCATTATTTAATATGTCCCTAAGTTGAGGTTCTGGGGAACCCTGGCCCGGGGAAAACGATGATAGTGAGGAACATGTAGAGTTAAAGTAATCAGATTCTATGGAAATAACCATCGCAAGTTTAAAATTAAATTTATAAGTTTATTCGTATACTACTAAATAATAACAAAAATAAATAAAAACAGTATACACATATATATTATAAATGTTTAATAAAAAAAGTAAAAAAATAATAAAATTAAGTGAACTGTTTTGCTATACCGTGGGTTCAGCAAAAATAAAATTGTTATTAGCTTGCCACATCTACTACCAGTTAGGACATTACAACCATGTCAGGAGGAAGTACAATTTATTATAATTTGATAAAGAAAAGTGAAAACAGTACAAGTATGCCGATTAAAAAAAATTACTCTAAAGAAAAAACTGTAAATGCGCACTTTTAAATTCTTGCGGTGGTAACCCTGCGTATGATGATCGCATTACCATAGTAAAAACAGAACTTCTGATCTGTCTTTACTATGACATTTTAATTATTTGACATTGTCATTTCATATTGACATTACAAACCAAACCAAACAAAACATACAACCAATACACAAACAAAAATAAAAATTTTGAAGGTTGCAAAAAGTTTCAATTCAATGTTCTATGAGGTTTGTTTCAAGTTAAATTATATTCAAGTTTAATTATAAAGCAGGTAGTTTGGGGTAATAAGTCCTACAACTACCAATGATAAAAGTTGTTCGTATTTATAAGTAATGATACATAATATAATTATGCCCTACAAACAAAAGGAATGAATAATTGCATAAACTCCAATAGCGGTAAGTTAAATATCATTTTAAGTAAAATATGCAATTAACTACAGTAGTGAGATTCTTAATAATAGAGAAAAAGAAAAAGTTAATATATAAAGAGACTAATTTTACAACTTTTTTCCAGGTTTAGACCGTTGTTTCAAAGCCACAGCTTTGGAAGTTTCTGAATTACTCACAGGATATTCAGCCAGTTGGTCTAGAGAAACAAGACGTACCTTGCTTCCATTACAGAGCTTTAGATGTATGTTACCATCTTGTGTCCAACACCTGTGCATACCATGTAGGCGTCGAGCTTCTTTGAAAACTTCTCTTCTATGAGGTGTAAGAAATTCAGCAATAGAAATATTACTTCCTTTCAAAGAAAGCTTAGCACGCCAGACTTCTTGACGAATGGTATAATCTGTAAACTTTACCAGCAGTGCACGAGGATTTGCTGTTGTGTTTTTTCCCAAACGATAACATGAATGAATCTGAGTTGACCTAAATGTATGTATTTTTAATTTTTATGTCACCAGATTTATAACAGTGTCAATGCAGTTTTCTGTATCAGACTCTTCAATGCCTCGAATTAAAAGAAATTTACGCCTGCTCCTGTTGTCAATGTCATCAGTTAATAGTGTAAGGGACTGAACTTGCTTTTTTAAGATCTCCAGCGCAGTCTTCATAGTCTCTTTGAACATAATAAAATCATTGGTGAGAGAAGTGATATTAGGTTGAGAACTTTCCAACCGGGCTTGAAAAGAAGACATACACTCTTCAAACTTTTTTTCAAGTGTCTTGACAGCATCTTCCGGTTTAGTTTTTTCAAGATTTCTTCTTCCAGCCATAGTGCAGTGTTGAAGTGTAGTACTGAAGAATAGTATTTGTAGCAGATGCGGTGCAAACTAATACATGTGCTATGGTACATTAGTCAAGATTTAAGATGAATAGGTTTTAATGGATTGTAATAGAAAATATACCTAAAACTTGTAAGTTTTACTATTTTAATTATCAAAACAAGACCCAAAAAATATGTTGTCACTGCTTGTGAACCTACCCCCGAAAAAAAAATAAAAAAAAACAGATGTCGCCGCGTAAAGTTACATCGCGATGTCGACAGACTACTCAAAGAATGGTATCCAAGAATTAATGCAAGGCGTCATTCAGTCATCGATTGTTGCTCTGCTTATATCCGCTCAATTAAATAAAATATAATTTTTAACACACGGATGAAGTGAATAGCTTCATGTCCGCGTGTATATTGATCTGCTGTTTTGTATCCTCTCTCTCTTCGTATTTTTATTCTGTGTTTTTATTAATACATAATATAATCATTTATAATATGACAATATCGCAGATCCAAACAATTTAATGGTCAAATTATCTAAAATAAATAAAAAAATAAAATAAAATAATAATATTGTTTTATTTTATATTATTATTAAAATATGGTTATGATACATGAATAATTTCTTATTTCTTGTGAAATATGGTTACGCGAACACTAATTTTATGTCATATTAATTTCATTGAATGAAACTTTATTGAATAATAAGATTTATCGCTTATCGCGCTTAATTGGCTTATTTTGTATTAATATAATCAATAAAATTCGTTCTATTCAATGCTTTGGTTACGTATACCAATTAAAATTCATCCATATGTTCAATATTGTATTAAGATTATTTAAAAAATACAATGAAAATAAAATTAATGATATATTGTGGCTTGGATTGGATTAAATTAGATTTTTTATGCATGCAATATTAATTTTAAATATATAAAATATATGTAGTGTTAAAGTGGGTATGATAAATGAGTTTATTTTTTAGCTTTTTCGTACGCTCGTTACAATAATTATATGTAATAATTATATTATTATACTTATTATTATTATTATAAATATATTGCGCTAATAGAGATATTGAAAGGCAGTTCAAGGACAGCTCATATATACAAAGGGATTGCTCAAGTCATATAAAATTAAAAATACATCATATTATGTTTACTGCGCCCAATGAAGCTGTAACTGGCTAAAATCACCGAATAAATTATAAATGTGATATAAAATATAAATAATTGATAATACTATAAATAATTATAGTCAGAGAAAAAAGAAAATCTTACATAAAAAGAGTACAAACGTCACGTAATAAGTATAAAAATATATGGGCTATGTTTATTGAAAAAACTAAAAAAGCTAAAAGTGTAAAATATGAAAACATTTGTTTACATAATGACGTTTTAAATATAATATCTCTCAGTAAGGTTGCAGACTTATTCAATAATTATTATATCACTATAAGTTGAAATAACTGCTGCTCTCTAAATAAGCAGCCATCTCGAGTATCCTTGCCAAATTCACTATTCTTAGTAGTTTACAGAGGTTTATGTCAAAAGAACGATAATGGGACTAAAAAGAAACAGTTCTTTTGGATATGATTAAATCCCAGATACTCTGCTGATATATTTCGTAGATGAGTTTGTAAAGCCCTTAACCATTCTTATAAATCAATCGTTTATGGATGGCGTTATTCCGGAAAATCTAAAATTAGCCGAGATAAAACCTGTTTTTTTTTTTTAAAAAAAAGCGATAAAACTGCTGTATCTAATTATCACCCCATCGCTTTACTGTCTGTAATTTCAAAAAAAAATTGAAAGAATAATTTGTAGTAAAAAATATAACTTTTTTGCAAAATACAGCATATTTAATAGATATCGGCATGGCTTCCGAAAAGATCATTCTACTACGTCCGATGTATTTAACTGTATCTTAGAAATTCCAAATGTCCTAAATGAAGGAAAATGTGCTATAGCTATTTTTATGGACATGTCCTAAGCATACGATCGCGTTTTGCATGGACCCTTGCTAGAAAAGCTAAACGCGTATTCGGTAGGTATACGTGAAAAACCGCACGAATGGCTCTATTCTTATCTTGCAAATAGAAAACAGTACGTGCAAGTATCACATTTAAATGAAAATAACAAAATTATAAATTAAATAAATTCGTCCACTGCAACAGTAACAATGTCTATACTGCAGTGTCCTAGGATGCTTGCTGTTTTTTATTTATATCAACTTCGTTCAGCACCACATAGAGTCGCTTTGTTTGCAGATGAAGCGACAGTTATAATTACTTATGAACAATAAAGAACAAAAAAGTAGTTTGCAGGAAAACATAACCCAATGCCTTAGCAAAATTGTGAATGAATTAGATGTATTAGGTTTATTATGAAATTTTGAAAAGACCAAAATAAATGCAGTTTCGCCCATATCAGAGATCAGAAGTCCCACTCGCCTTACCGAGGTATAAATATTGAGGAAGTTCACACATTTTCGCTCCTCGGGGTAACAATAGTCTCAACTTTTTCATGGAAAAATCATTTAGAAAGAGTAGTGAATAACTTGAGCAGTTTATGATTAAAACTACTTTTACGGATTTTATCGCGTTTATTTTTACTTTTTATTTTTAATTCCCGACGTTTCGGGCGCTTTCCAGCACCCATGGTCACGGGGGACTGAGATGACTGACGTCCCGATGTCATTGTTAAACCCGGAGAACCTTCAGCTTTTTTAATTATTGTTTATGGTCCGATCTATGCAAAATGAACTGACTATGTCCTGAGGTCTTGCAGTGGTATGCTTGGGTTTAGTTTTAATTTTATTGATTATAGGATCCCAAGCAGGTGGTAGTACCCAGCCTCCTTCTCTATTGAAATTAGGATGTTTTTTAATTTCAATAGCCTCACGTATCATCCTTGGTAGGAATCGGTGTTCTTTCGCGAGGATTTGTGGTCTATCAAATCTGATGTAATGGTTGGGGCCGTCTAGGATATGATCACAAACTGCAGACTTCCCGGAACGTTGATGCTTCACATCAGCTATATGTTCTTTTACGCGGGTCCTAATTGATCTTTTGGTTTGTCCTATATAAGAGAGACCACATTCACAATCAAGCTTGTACACTCCTGCATCTTGTAGAGGAATATGACACTTGACGGATGGTAGGAACTGACTAATCTTCTTCGGCGGCTTGTAGAATGTTCTAATAGAAGCTCGCTTCAAGATATAGCCAATCTTGTCTGTGACACCTCTGACATATGGTAGTACAGCAGGCACACGCTCGACTGTGGCCGGCTTCACTCGGTCACTGTGACGTAGGCGCGGGACCCGAAGCTTGTTGTCGTGCAGAACTTGCTTGACGTGCTGAAGCTCGGCGGCCAGGTGTTTGCTGCCACAGATCCCTCGTGCTCTCTGTACTACCACCTGCTTGGGATCCTATAATCAATAAAATTAAAACTAAACCCAAGCATACCACTGCAAGACCTCAGGACATAGTCAGTTCATTTTGCATAGATCGGACCATAAACAATAATTAAAAAAGCTGAAGGTTCTCCGGGTTTAACAATGACATCGGGACGTCAGTCATCTCAGTCCCCCGTGACCATGGGTGCTGGAAAGCGCCCGAAACGTCGGGAATTAAAAATAAAAAGTAAAAATAAACGCGATAAAATCCGTAAAAGTAGTTTTAATCATGTGCAATGTTCGCGTAAATATAAGAAATCATTTTGAGCAGCTTATGCCCTGCGTGAGCTACCTAATGATATAAATGAGCAGTGTGCACTTACTGTGTACTACAGCCATGCCGCTGCCTCGATAAGATACGCGCGGTATCCATGCTCCAAAAACGTTGCCTTCGAATAATCACGTTCGCAAGAGATTCATGTCGAAGGTTGTTCTCCATATCTGGAGTATAGTAGATTATATCTAACTAACTGTAACGGGCATGTACATTTTTAAATTGTGCCACTTTGTTATTAAAAATCCTGATTATTTACAACGAATTGTAGATAGACCCAGTCGATACAGCGCACGTCGTGGTTATAATCTAAGTGCTCCTGCCACATATCTCACATTATTTAAAAATGGTCCCTGCTACATGGCTATAAGGGTTTATAACTATTTACCTAATACAACAAAGCCCTCCAGTGTCGTTAATTTAAAATAGTACTTAATAAAATTCTTATTATAAAAACATATTTTAATTTGAATGAATATTTTAATAATAAACTTGACATTTTTCTTTATTTCTATTTAATTATTTGACATAGTTTGTATTGTTAATCAAAATTTATAAAATTTATATACATAATATAAATGACGAATGATCAATATTTGACATATAATATTTACAGAAATTTAGTTTTTAAAATAATTGTGTGTATTATTTAGTCTAACATTTTATAAATAAATTAATAATAATTTATATATTAACTACTATAAATTTGCCGTGAAGTGTCGGTTAAGAATATCCACTACCCTATATCCCATTACCCACACATTCCCGTGGGTGTCGTAAAAGGCGACAGAGGGAAACAGGCAGGAGATGGGCAGCAGCATCTTCCAGATAGCAGCTACTGTACAACAAAAAAAAACTGCGGTTGCCAACCCGCTTGCCAAGCGTGGCATCTATGGCAATATACCCCCCATCATGAGAGCTAGGAAGAATCGGCCCCCAGCCCCAGGCGGCCCTCTATTCCTGGCTACGGTGGCGACCATGGTAACGGCGGGGCAGGTGGTGCTAAGAATTTCCGGTGGAGGTTCGATTGCCACCTACGACGGCTCGACCCGGCAACATATAACGCACGCACCCTGAGGACTGACAAGAAGATCCTGGAGCTGGGAGAAGAGGTAATCAAGTTGCGCTGGAATATTATAGGATTATCCGAGGTCCGAAGAGAGGGGGAGGATACGGTGATTCTCGAATCCGGCAACTTGTTCTATCACCGGGAGGGCGACCATCTGTCCCAAGGAGGTGTTGAATTTATCGTCCACAAGTCTTTCTCA